CGGGCCCTGGCGCCCCGGCCGGCCGCGCGAGGGCCGGGGCCGATTCCTGGTTCTCTCCGGGGGCCGGACCCACTCCCGAAGCCGCTCCTTGGCGCCCTAAAACGAGTAGCCCCAACGTGAGAGAAACAAAAGGTATTTGCTGACGTGGGCGTTGGACAGAAACGCCCGAGGGCTGGGGACACAATTAAAGGGGCAACGCACAGATTTCAGGCACCAACCAGCAGCTTCGCCCACTCCCCCTGCCCTTGCCCACACCCCGCTGCACCCTCCGGAGGCGCGCCGCGCCCGGATTCCCTCGCACGGGGCTGCGGAGCATTATTTTAGTCAGGAGCTGAAATTTTAAAATGTATTTTACGTTGGGAAAGGCGCCTCCGGAGGGCAGAAGGGCTGGATTTCTAGGATGTGGGGAATTTGGTTTAGGAAAGAGGGAGGGACTTAGGCGTGCCCGCAATTACTGTGTAAGTGCATGTGACATTATTGTACTTAAGTTGAACGACGTCAAATAGAAGCCGCTTCCACAGAATTTTCCCCTTGATTGAAGCAGTTATTTTAGTCGGGGATAACCGTGAATAAGCCTCTGCGGTCACAGGCATTTCATTCGCAGAGCAAAACCCAGATAGAATGAGATAAGAGAACGTAACTTTTAGTTAGTGTAAAATTAGTAAAAGCAGATTGTGTGTTTCCAAATACAAAAATTCATTGTACATCAAAGCTTCTCGACTGAGATAATGTGTCTCTGATAGAATAGACATCGGATTATATATTTGTTAAAGTAGTAAATCACTGAGTTCTCGTTGTGGTATTCCAAATTCCATAAACTAGTTTCCTAGCACCTTATGCTGGAATCCGGTACTGAAAAGTGCCATATTTTAATAAAACTGGAAAAAAAGAGACATTTTCAAAACGTACGTTTAATTTTTTAGTGATTCCTCTCCTGTGTCTTTTTTTGGGGGGTAGGGCAAGTACCGGGATCTTGTGTCTTAATTAAGACATGTTAGACAAACGTTGTCACCTTGGTTTCATCAATAATTAGCGGTACACTTTGAGGACCGTACTTTGTGCGGATAGAAGCTAGGCTCAAGTCTCTCTAAGATCACTTCTTTATTATTCCAGAAGTGGTTCGGGCACACTTTGAATAGGTGAGAGGAAAGTATTTGAAAACCACCAGGCATCAGCTGCTGTGCAAGCGCGCTCATTGAACGTTCCCCTGGAAAGACCGCACAAGCCAGGAGTGGTGGTGCATGCTTCTAATCCCAGTTCTCTGAGAAGCTGAGGCAGGAGGACGGCACGTTCAAGCCCAGCAGGGGCAGTTTATCAGACCCTGTCTTAAAGTTTTAAAAAATTGTAAAAGCCTTCGGATGTCGCTCATTGCAAAGACTTTTGGTTCAATCCCCCCCCCCCATTTCAAACAAACAAAACGCTGAAAGTCATTATAGCAAAAGTTTTGTTTTTGAAAGAAGGGTCTTACTGTGTTGTTCAGACTTCCTTCTAGTTCCTGGGCTCAAGTGATCCCCACATCAGCCTCGAGAGTAGCTGGGCCTATAGGCTGTACCACTATGCCAGGGACAAGGCTTTTCATTTCGGGGTTAGTGAACTAAAATGTGCAGGAGAGTTCTACAAATGTGTTCTCAAGAGAGCTCATCAAGCTGGTAAGAAACTATTTGTCGAGACGAAGCATGGGTGAGAGTTTTCCCTGTCACTTTCATTCTCCTAGCTTGAAAAGTTTGTGGTTCTCAAAGCCGGTGCTCCATAATAACCTCCTGTTCTCTTAAACTCTGTCTTTTTGGTTCACATTCTTTTTGTTGTTGTTTGGTTGGTTTTTGAGACAGGGGTCTTGATATGTAGTTCAGGCTGGCCTTGACCTCACTGTGTAGCTCAGCCTGGCCTTGAACTTGCAGCAATCCTGCTGCTTCAGTCTCTCAAGTGCAGGGATAACAGTCATGCGCCATCACACCCGGCCTCAGTTGAAATTCTTAAGGGAGAGAATCCACGCCATTTTGTTTTTTTTTTTTTTTTTTTTTTTGAGACAGGGTGCCACTATGCAGTTCAGGTAGTTCAGGCTGGCCTTGAACTTGCAGCAATCCTCCTGCCTCAGCCTCCCGAGTGCTGGGATTACAGGCGTGCGCCACCGCGCGTGGCTTCCATTCCATTTTTAACAGCAACTTCTTCAGACCTATTATGGTTAGAATGTTTGCTGTAGGCTCTTGGAGTAGGATGGTAAGCAAAACATGCATCTGGCCTCTGTCTTCACAGGACTCTAGTTGGGGAGATAGATCAAATAGATGTATAATTCAAAACTGGGATAAACCTGAAGGAAATGTACATAGTACTGTGAGAGAGTACAGACTTTTTTTAAAAATGAGACAGGGTCTCACTATATAGTTCAGGCTGGCCTTGAACACACTATGTGTAGCCCAGGTTAGCCTGGAACTCGTGGCACTTGTCCTGCCTCAGCCTCCCAAGTGCTGGGATGATAAGCATGTGCCACCAGTGCCTGATTTAGTCAGCATACCTGATTGGAAATCTGGAGTGGGAATTAATAGGCAAAGATGTGAACAGTCAGGAGTTTTCCAGCTAGAAGGAGCAAAAGATACTAAGGTGCTTGGTTGGAAAGAGCATAGCAATAAAGGATGATGAGGCTGTAATGTAGAGTGAGGGGACGTAAGCAGGGATCAGACCATCTTGGGTTTGTGAGCTATGCTGAGAACCACTAATATACTTTATTTTATTTTTTATTTTTTATTTTTTGGTTTTGGTTTTTCTCCGGTACCGGGAACCGAACTCACGACCTTGCACTTGCCAGGCAGTCTAATATATTTTAAACCGAGTGTGGTGTGTGTGACATGATGAGGTAAACACTCTGAGAAGATGATGCATGGAGCATAAATTAGAGGGAGGGCAAGGTAGATTACAGTGGTCCAGCTAAAAGATGATGGAACCTTCACAGTCTGGGTGTGGTGGCAAACATCTGTAATCCCAGCACTCCGGAGACTAAAGCAGGAGGATTGGGAGTCCCTGGCCAGGCTGCTGTGCTACATGGTGAGACTTAGGAGGCTGGGTGGAGGGAGTAGGTTGAACTAGAGTGGAAGAAACAGATATGGGGAAAAGTGAGATTAGAAGAAGTGGAGGGAGAAATATTAGTGATAACACCTTGACTATGGGGATGAAGAAGGGAGAGTCAAAGATGGCTTCCTTTGGCTTGTAGAACTGGATGGATCGTGGTTCTATTCACTGAGAAAAAAAAAGACAGGATCAGATATCTTTTATTTCTTTTGTCTTTCTTTCTGTGCCATTGTTCCTCTGCCACAAGTATGCAAAGGATCTGATCAAAAAAAAAAAAAAAAGGATCTGATCAGCCCATACCCATAGAGTAGGAGGGCAACAAAGCTAATAAATCCAGGGGCTGGGGATATAGCTCAGTGGCACAGCGCCTGCCTGGCAAGCACAAGGTTGTGAGTTTGATTCCCGGTACCAGACCTGCCTCTGCAAAACAGATAATAAATCCAGCTTTGTCATGTTAAGAATGAGGTGCCTTGGGGATACAGACTCGACATCTTCATTGTTTTTGTATGCATGTCATCTGAAAGTCATTATGTTGGAGAATTCCTTACCTTATGAATAATTGGAGTGAAATAGAGTCTGCCTTCTGCAATGGAATGTAAAAATGCTGGTGATTTATTTTCCCAGAATCCCTTGCAGCTAGGCTAGTGGCCATGGTCTACACTCTTTGACAGTTAGATGCACTGAGTTGAGACAGGGTCTCACTATGATGTTCAGGCTGGACTCAAATTCACAGCAGTCCTCCTGCCTCAACCTCCAGTGTGCTGGGATAACAGCCACGCACCACCATACCTGGCAACATGAACCAACTTTAAAGAGGAAGCTATGACACCAAGACACAGGAACCTCAGAGAATCTTTTCTGGCAGCAGTGACAGCTGCATCAAGAGAATCTCTCCAGGTGCCACAGTGCCAGTGCTTCTAGGGGCAGCATCCACTGGCTGGCTGTGGTGCTTTGGCATTAGCTACCATGTCACTTTGCTGAGAACAATGTTGTTGTCCTCACCAGCTGTGGTGTAGCTTTGGTTATTGTTTCTGGCTGCTTAGACTAACTTCAGTCCCTGTGCTCTGCCCGTCCTGTGATCCTGTGGATTTTTAATATATTTCTGTTCAAATCTGCCAAAGCCAGTCTGTGCAACTAAGAACCCTCCCAAGTACAAATGGTAAGAAGGTGGCTGGCCATACCACCAGATAGAATTGTTTGAGATAAATATTTGTCACCAATGTTATATCAGTTGGAATTAAAACCAAGGAAATGGCTAGAGAGAGGTTGTAACATGAGATGAGATGGCTTGGGGCCAAGCTTTGAGCAACTGCATCATTTAGTGACTGATAAGAGGAAGGTGAAATTACAAATGAGACTAAAATGTGACTAGAGAGGACGGAAGAGACCTGGGATTATATACCATAAAAGCTAGAGAAGAGAGTCACTCAAGAAGGAAGGAGTGAGCCTTAATGTTAAATACTGCTAGGATGACAAATCTAAGAGGTGTCTATTTGATTTAACAACTTCACCACCACTGACTTTATTTATTTATTTTTTTGGTACTGGGAATTGAACTCAGGACATTATGCTTACCAGGCAGGCACTTGTACCACTGAGCTATATCCCTGGCCCAACATAATTAACTTTGTTTATTTATATTTTTTTTGGTACTGGGAATTGAACTCAGGACCTTGTGCTTGACAGGCAGGTGCTTGTGCCACTGAGCTATGTCCCCGGCCACCTCATTGACTTTAGAGAACACTTTCAAGTTTGAAAGATGGAAGGGTGGTCTGAGAATACAGGGGAGAAAAAACTCTGTTTCTCCTATACTTTCACTTAACAATCAGCACAGAAGATTTCAATGACCCAGTGTGTGGGGAGCTTTTCCCACACATTAAGCAACCAATCAAGCTGGGTGTCCTCTAGTTCAGTTCTACAGACTGATGGCTCAGTCCCAAGACTGCCCCCAGCTTTGGATGCCAACCACAAGCCTTGTGTGTCTTACTTATGCTTTGGACCTTCTGGCCATATGTCAGGGCTCCCACAAACCCCTCCTTTTTTTTTTTTTTTTTTTTCTTTTTTGTCTT